ACAGTCAGTAGTTTAAATGGGATTTGTTCCTTATCTCGTGTTTATTTCTTTAAAAATACCCCTTAACTGTGCCGTTTTGCATACAAATGGCACAGTAATATGTATTCATTGCAGTAATTCTGCTGCAGGACTTAGATTTGAAGAGAGTGGTTTTGGTTTCCTTGCAGTACTTAAGTTTATAGTCTGGAATGCAGAACTATGTGGATTTTAATGGCAGATTTCTAGGTTTGGTACCCAGACAGCCTTTGGGATGCTTTGCCTACCCGTTAATTAATTTGCAGTCGGAAATAATTGTTTTCACCACGTTTGTCTCTGCACACCCTGGTCAATTGAAGGCTCTTCTCAGTGTCAATGTCATTGCACTGCCAGGATTGATCTCGTCTGCCCCATTAGTCTCTGAAATGTAGGTCCTGATATCCCTGCTGCTATTTGTGTCTGTAATGAATATGTATATTGCAGGATATGTATAGCAGAACTGTGATTAGATCCCACTGATTGCCCTGGTTCCTCTTGGAGAGAAGCATTTCACAGTGGTCTCAACCATCTTCTCTTGGGGAGAAGGAGCCAGGACACCTCTCCAGGGAGCACTGGCTCTGCTTTGAGTTGGTGGGAAGCAGCAGTGCACTGTGTTCCACAGCTGCCTGGAGTTAGGGGGGAACACATACTGCTTGGCTTGGGTTTTCTGGCACTGCAGTTTGACATCCCCTGTCACTGAGTCTTCCCCTTCCTTCACCATCCCTGGAGGTTTTCAAGACGAGACTGGATGTGGCACTTGGGACCATGGTTTAGTAACCACAGTAGGATTGAACGCGATGATCTTTGAGGTCTCTTTCAGCCAGGCTGATTCTGTGATTCTCTGATTGCAGCGTGGCAGGTGAGGTGGAGGTGTGCTGTGTTAGGAGCACAGGGAGCAGCTGGAACTTGGGCACCAAGGGCTGTTTTTTAAGCAAACAGTAGAGTGTATCTTTCCAAGAAGAACCTTTTCTGGGTGAAAGTAATATTGTAGGGGTGGATGAAACTTGGGATGAACATATTAAACCCCCTAGTTTGTTGCTAGAATACAGACAAGGCAGTTCCTTACAGGACTCAAATGTGAGCAGGTGACCCAGGAACTGTGTTATCTCACTGATGGAGCTGAAATGGCTGATCCTGAGGGGACCCAGTGCACAGTTATTGCCTGGCATGAGGATCAGTGGATGAGTTGTGTGGTTTGCTAACCTTTTTTCACCTGGCAGCCTTTTAGTCCTTCAGCTCCACAGCAGATGAACCCAATGCTTTTGCAGCTTTTGTGTCTCACCTGTATGCATGTGGCACTCCTGACTGTTTCAGCCTTGTAGCTGGTGTAGCAAAGTTTGTTACTGGGGTTGTGTGAGAAGCATTTATCTCCCACCAACCAGATGTGAAGGTGGGGCTTGAATTTCTAGTCCATACCGTAAATGCTTGTGCTTGGTGTAGAACTAATTAGGTGCTGTCATGCCTTGTCTCCAGTAGGTTGAGGATCACATCTTCATTCTGCTGCTTCTCTGAAAAATCCCAATTCTTCTTTCCTTGCCTTGTTCTTTGACTTCATTCTCTCCTGTGTCATTTTCTGGTTTGTTCATAAGGTTTTCTGTCATTGTTTCTCTTCTCAATTTTCATGTAATTTTCCCAAGTTGCATTACTGGAGAGCTTGATTCACCAGGGAAGGAACAGAGATCATCTGAGTGTTTATGGACCCAATCTGCTGTGGGATGAGGCCAAAGAGAAGGCACCATACACTGAGCCCTTGGAAGTAATGTTCAGCCTCTTGGCTGACCAGATTTCTCCTGTGCTGCAGGTGGATTGTGTCTGGAGTAGTTGTGTATTGACACCTCATTTGCAGGAGATGTTGTGCAGAACTGACATAGGCCATAGCCATGCAGTGAGACAGAGGTGGGAGATTCTGGTTCTCTGTTAACAGTACCTTTTGTGGGTCAGGCTCTGCCTTCAGAGGTCACTCTGGACTGGGTTTGTGCCCTAGGTAATTCAACTTTGCTGTCCTGTTCTTCAGCTTTTGGCATGTGCAGGTGCTTGAAGGTTTGCAGAGTTTGAGGTGCAGCACTTGGTGCCTCCATGGTATCAGTTATGTGCTGAGCTGGTTCATGCCCTGGGAGTGCTGACTTGGCTCCAGCACTTGGTGCCTCCATGGTATCAGTCATGTGCTGAGCTGGTTCATGCCTTGGGAGTGCTGACTTGGCTTGTGAGGCCGTGGAATGAAAACCTGGGGAAAGTGGTGAAGTCCTTAAACAGGATCTCCTTCTGGAGAGCCTCCTTGTAGCCCTCTGCATTCACTGCTAGTCACTGCTAGCAGTGCTGGAGTGCCCAACACACTGTAAGAGTCCTCTAGGAGGAAGAGTTGGGCACTGGGAATGGGAATGGCATGTGAAGGGCTTGGAAATGCAGTCCTGAGGCAGTGAGAGGGGTTGTGAGTGATAGTTGCCTCCATGGGCTTTGCCCATTTAATCTCCCACAACTGTAGTTCTGCTCCTGTGGTGTCTGGGATGAACCTTGCACAGCAGAGATCTTGCCATGTCTAGTTTTCAGCTCTTACCATAGATTACCTGCTCCCCAAATCCTGTAATCTTTCTCAGGAGGTAAAGGATAGGATCTGGATCTTATGTCCTCTTAGAAGCTGCAGGTCTTGATGCAAGTAACACTGAAAACATTGCTAATTTAATTACTGTCAGCTGAGTTTCCTTTAAAGCCTTACTTGGAGATGAACAGCTTACAGTCCTTAGTGGAAGGAAAAGTGTTTGTGGAAAGGGAACTTCTTTGCACCTGAGGGACTTGCGGGACTTGAGGGAACTCTGAGCTCAGTTATGAGCGACTCCCTTGTGGTTTGGTGCCAGACTGTAGGCTGGAAAAATGTCTGTGTGAGCTGCTGAGTGTTTGTAGCTCTCTGTGTGGCCCTCACTGCTGCAGAGCTCTGTGTTCAGTTGTGCTGCTCCTGTCTGGGGAGACATGGAATTCAGCTGGAGAGAGTCCTGACCTCAGAAAGGAACTGTTGGGGTAAAACACTCGGCTGAGTGTTACAGCTGAGTGTTACAGCTGAGGACAGAGCTGCCCTAGCTGTCCCCTGGCTCCTGCCCCAGGGTGCCAAGGTGTAACACTCCCATGGTGTGTGAATTGTCATGTGTTCACTTCCCTTCTCTTGCAGGATGATATTGGTTGTTGCCCTTTGCTTAGGGGCTGTTCCTGCTCTCTGTCTGCAATGAAGTGCAAACTGGGTGGATAATTGAATCCTGGGTGGGTTGTTTGCTTCAGTTACAACTTCTAGATGTCAAAGAGGCTGAACAGATAAGGAAAAGGACAAACAAATGATGGGTTTTGCTGGGCACAGTGTAAAGAACCTTCTGACACATAGGATGGGTTTTCAGTACCAGGTTTGGGGAAGTAAAGCCAACATGTAGGCTCTTGTACAAGGAAGATTGTAAATAAACTGAGCTCAGAGGGTGAGAGGATGCTGCAGTTGAGCAGCCACAGTGCAGCACGAGCTAGTGTGACCCTGAGGACAGATCTAGGGAAGGGATAAACAGAATGGTCTTTTAGTGACCCAAACCGGAAGATTTGGCATTGGAATTGCAACCTTGTCCATCGTGTTGTTACTGCATTAAGGTCAGATTACGAAAACCCCAACTAACATGAGCCAAACTCCAGTGTGTGTGGGAGCTGAGTGAGGCAGTGTTTGGAGCAGCCTGACAGCTCTGGGAGAGGTTGGAGCCTCAGCTGGAGGATGTGGAGTGGAACAGAAGGGAGATTAAACAACCTTTTATAATCCCTCCTGCCTGGATCTGGGGATTGAAGCATACATTGTTGTCAAAGGGATGTTTAATCATTTGGCTTCTCTCAGGAGAAGACCAGCACAGTGCCATGCAACTGGTAAATGTTCCATGGACTCATGGAATGTCCTGAGCTGGAAGGGACCTCCAAGGATCATCAAGTCCAACTCCTGCCCAGGACACCCCAGCAATGCACCCTGTGCCTGAGAGCATTGGCCAAACACTCCTGGAGCTCTGTCAGCCTTGGGGCTGTGCCCACTGCCCTGGGAGCTGTTCAGTGCCCAAACACCTCTGGGGGAAGAACCTTCTCCTGATATCCAACCTAATCCTGTCTCAGTGCCCAAACACCTCTGGGGGAAGAACCTT